AAGTTTACTGCATTTTTCCTACACATTTTATTATTGCATTAAAAAGTCTCTGTTGTCAGTTTATTTCTGCTAAATAAAGCTAAATATTCTGGTGTGGCTTTTTTGCAACAGATGCTGGTGTGGGATAGGGAGGGGTCACATTAGCCAAGGGTGTTCAATTTCAAAATTCTTTTCCTTTGTGGTCACAGGGAAATTTGCTTCCTATAAAAATTGCTAGTCTGTGTAATGTTTGTGCGTAACTTTCCATCCCTTATGGCATCTGATACACTGTCTAGGAGGACTTCTGCCGAAAGCCACTGTACATTCAGTTCCATGTTCTTCTGTTAAACACAAAATTCAGCTTTTGCACTTCAGGGTGAATCACTCCTCTTCTATAAGATTATTTATGCAGGCAGTTGTTTTTAAAAGTCTGGTCCTGGGGCGCCTGGGTGGCTCAGTGGTTAAAGCCTCTGCCTTCAGCTCAGGTCATGATCCCAGGGTCCTGGGATTGAGTCCTGCATGGGCTCTCTGCTCAGCAGGGAGACTGCTTCTTCCTCTCTCTCTGCCTGCTTCTCTGCCTGCTTGTGATCTCTGTCTGTCAAATAAATAAATAAAATCTTAAAAAAAAAAAAAAAAGTCCTTTCAGGCCCCTTGCATTCCTTTTGCTTCTTGCCTTATTTCCTTCTGCCCATTTCAGCTTCTTTTGTCAGACCTTAGATATATTTTGGAATGTGTGGGTCATATCTGAATATACATAGGTTATTTATCACTGGCTTTTGAGGATTGGCTAGCTTATATGAGTCTTACATAAAATGACAAGATATATAAAGGCAATTTTTGTTCGGGAATACTAATACATATTTCAGTAACCATGTTGTTTGAAAGGAAAAAAATATGCAAATGACTGAATAATAGATTTACCACAAAAATACATTGTCAAAATGTATGTTTTCCATAAAGGGGGCACAGATACTCATTTTTTTACATGTTAGTGAGAAGCTAAATAATAAAGTAATCATAAATTCACAAGAGATTATTATAGAAATTAATTTAAAGTATTGCATTTTTATCTGACCCAATATGTTACTTTCTATTACCATTTTGATACTCTCTCAAAGTTCCTGTTTGAACAACTTCTGTGAAGTATAATTCATTAACTTAAGTCATCAATTCCATATTTGTGTGGCTATCATCTCTTTAATTCAAGCTTTTTTGAGGGTTAACTCTCTGCTAAATACTCTGCTAGGCAGATCAATGAATAAGAAAGCTTGAATTTTTTTCTCAAAGGAGCAAGCTAAAGTTCAATATGATATTGCTATGATAGATGTATCAGAATCCAATAACAAACATTTCCTCAGGTTTTTGAGTATATAACTAAATGTATGGATGCTTATTGATAAAATACGTACATACATATCTCTATGTATATTAATTACCGGAAAGCTAATTGTATTATTTCAGAATATTTACAATAAATATAAATTAAAATTCTGCATATATATGTATATGAAACATGTATACACATATACATACTTAGTGCATTGCCTTGTGCAATATATGGTGTATACTGAGTGATTGTGAAAGGAATCAATGTGTGTGTTGTTGTTTTTTTTTTTAAAGACCAAGTTCATAATTTGTTTCTCCACAATCGTCTTCCTGGAGTTTAACAAAATGTTCACATAAAGTAGATATTAGGTTAATATTTGTTGCCCAACTAAACTGAATGAGTGCAAAAGTGTCATGATGACAAAACAGTGGTACTCTACATAATTTCTGCTAGCATAATTAGCAGTCTTTGTAGTAGAATAATTCTTTATGGATTAGTAGGTTTTGGAAAATTGAAAATTTCTAGCGAGAAAAGTTATTCAGTTATTTAAAGGAGTTATTTAAAGGAGATGGATCAGGGAATTCCCTATAACGACTGATAAATATGTACATGCCAAAAAGTGGAAGCTGAAAAAGTAAACATGATGAAAATTTTGTTGTTTATCCATGGATAAAAGAGAATTCACTTGAATTTTTTCATATAAGGCAAGTGAACTGATAAGAGATTTTGTTTCTATATGTTACAATCCTCTTGGGGGAAAACAATAATGTAATTTTTCTGTGCATTTTTTCTTTTACTCTAAGGCTTTTGATGTGAATATTGTAATTACTGAGGTAAGCAATTCCAACTGGACCTTTTGTATCCAGGGAATAAAAAACTTTAGTGGCTCTATGAGAATTTCTTTTTTATTATTAATTATGTTAATATTAATTCAACAGAGAATACCAATCAGATGAAAATCGGGCCTCTATGCACTCTATAATTTAAATATGTCTTATTAAAGGGCTTTATGCTTCAATTACTTTTCCTTTGCTTGACATTCTCTTATGATACTTTAATTAGGAATATACTATCATATAAAAATGTTGATATATTTTAAATTACTGGTGTGTGTGTGTATGTGTGTGTGTGTGTGCATGTGTCTACTGGAGTAAGACGTCTGAATCTCAAACATATAATTACATCAGAATGATAATGGCAAGTGGTTTACCAATGGTAAGATAGGATAATTCTGTTCTTTTTTGGGAGATTATGTCTTTATTAAACTCTTTTTCTTTAAGATTGAATAATTTTATTAAGTAAGTCAGATCCCCTGCTATATTCTATATTATTTATTTCCTTCAGGTGTCATAAATGACTTGCAACATTAAAAATGCCTATTCTTTCTCTCTCCCAAGTGAACAAATGCCAATTCAAGATGAACCAAATCTTGGAGTCATCAGACATAAATTTTTTAAGGTAGCTATAACCATGCTCTGTGAGGTAAGAGTAAAAACTCTTGAAATGAATGGGAAAATTATTTTAGCAGAGAAACAGAAACTGTACAAGAGAACCAAATGGAAGTTTGAGAATTAGAAAACACAATATCTGAAATAAAAATGTTCACTGAATAGGCTCAATAGAAGAATGGCATTAACAGATAAAATAGTCAGCAAACTGCATGATAGGTTACCAGAAATCATTCAAGCTGGAGAATAGAGGGAAAAAAAGAAAACTAGTGAACAGAGCTACAGTATCCACTGAGAGAATATCCAGATATATAATAATTTTTTCATTGGAATGTTAGAAGGTGAAGGGAAAGATATTCATGTAGAAAAATATTTTTATGATTTTATTTAAATACCAGTTAGTTAACATACAGTATAATATTAGTTTTAGTTGTACAATATAATGATTCAACACTTCCGTACAACACCCAGTGCTCATCACAACTTCCCTCCTTAATCCCCATCACTTATTTCACCCCAACTCCCCACCTACCTCCCCTCTGGCAACTATCAGTTCTCTATAGTTAAAAGTTTGTTTCTTGGTTTGCCTCTCTCTCTTCCCCCCACCTTTGTTCATTTGTTTTATTTCTTAAATTCCAATGTGAGCAGAATTATAAGGTATTTGTCTTTGTCTGACTTACGTTGCTTAGAATTATGCTTTCTAGCTCTGTGCATGTCCATGGAAATGGAAAATGGGAATGTCCATGGAAATGGAAAAGCTCATTCTTTTTTATGACTGAGTAATATTCCATTGTGTGTGTGTGTGCACGCACGTGTGTGTGTGTGTACATGTGTGTGTGTACGTGTGTACAAGCCATGTGGCCTTGGACTTAATGGTAGTTTTTTGATTACTGATTCAATTTCTTTAGTGGTCCAAGTTTTCTATTTCTTCCTATTCCAGTTTTGGTATTCTATATGTTTATAGAAATTTTTCCATTTCTTCAAGATTGTACAATTTTTGATATATAATTATATATATCATATATATATTATATTGTCATATATTATATATATTATAATATTTTCTTATGATTGTGTGTATTTCTGTTATGTTGTTATTTATCTTCCCTATATTTTATTTATTTGGGTCCTTTTCCTTTTCTTTTCAGTAGGTCTGGCTCAAGAGTTACAAATTTTATTAATTTTTTTCAAAGAACCAGCTTTGGTTCTGGTTTCATTGATCTGTTTTTTGTTTTTGTTTTTGTTTTTTTTGTTTGTTTGTTATACTTTCTGTATCATTTATTTCCACTCTAATCTTTATTATTTTATTACTTCTGCTGGGTTTAGGCTTTGTTTATTCTTTCTCTGGCTCCTTTGGTGTTAGGTTAGGTTTATTTGAGATTTTTCTTGCTTCTAAAGGTAGGCCTGTATTGCTATATACTTCTTTTATTTCCTAGTTGACCCACTCATTGTTCAGGAGCATGTTGTTTTACCTTCCTATATTATGGTCTTTCCAAATCTGTTCCTGTGGTTTGACTTCTACTTTATGTTATGGTCAGGAAAGTTGCATGGCATGATTTTTGTCTTTTTGTATTTGTTGAGGATTGTCCTGTTACCTAATATGTGATCTGTTCTGGAGAAAGTTCCATGAGTACTTGACAAGAATGTGTATCCTGCTATTTTAGGATGAATGTTCTGAATATAACTGTTAAGTCCATCTGGCCTAGTGGGTCATTCAAAGCCATTTTCTGTTTAGATGATCTGTCCATTGTTGTAAGAGTGGTGTTAAAGGCCCCTAGTATTATTGTGTTATTATCAATTAATTCTTTTATGTTCATTATAATTGTTTAATATTTTTGGGTGCTCGCAAGTTGGCTCAGTAACATTTATAATTATTATATCTTCTTGTTGGATTGTCTCCTTTATGGTTATAGAATGCCCACTTTTTACAAACTTTTTTTTTTTTTAATTTATTTATTTATTTATTTGAGAGAGAGAGAGAAAGAAAGAGAGGACAGGGGTAAGGGTAGAGGAAGAGGGGAAAAAGAATCTCAAGCAGATTCCTCACTGAGCCTGGAGCCAAACATGAGGCTCAATCTCATGACCCTGAAATCCTGACCTGAGCCCAAACCAAGAGTTGGACACTCAACTGACTCAGCCACTCTGGTGCCCCTACAGTCTTTGCTTTAAAGCCTAGTTTGTCTGGTATAAATATTGCTATTCTGACTTCTTTTTGACATCCACTTGTGTGATAAATATTTATCCACCCCCTCATTTTTAAACTGTAGGGGTCTGTAAGTTATAAAGTGAGTTTCTTGTAGGCAGCATATAGATGGGTCTTATTTTTTTTTTTATCCATTCCATTATCCTATGTTTTTTATTGCATTTATATGCAAAGCAATTATTGCATTTATATTACTCCTCCATTTATATGCAAAGCAATTATTGATAGATATGCATTTATTGTCAGTTTATTACTTGTTTTATCATTGTTTCTGAAGATTTTCTCTGATCCTTTTGCATCTTTTTGTCTCTCCTTTGCACTCAAAGAGTCCCATTAATATTTCTTGCAGGACTGACTTAGTGTTCATGAACTCCTTTAGTTTTTGTTTATCTGGACAACTCTTCATCTCTTCTTCTATTCTGAATGATAACCTTACTGGATAGGGTAGTCTTGATCGCAGATTTTTCCTATTCAGCTCTTAGTATATATTATGTCACTCTCTTCTGGCTTGCCAAATTTCTGTTGAGAAATCTCCAGCTAGCCTCATGGATTTTTCCCTTATAAGTTAGGGATATATATATATATTTTTTTTTTTCTTTTTCACTATATTTTGCTAATCTTATTACAGTATGTCTGATGTAGGCCTGATTTTGTTGATGTTTATGGAAGTTCTCTTTTTCTCCTGGATCTGGATGTCTGTTTCCTTCCTCAGATTAGGGATGTAGAAAAATATTTTTTTTTAAACTAATAGCTAATAACTTCTGAAGGGCTAATTTGCAGATGCAAGAAAACTAGTTAATATCAAACAGGGTAAAATCAAAGAAAACCTTTCTCAGACATATAATATACATGTTATAAATTAAAGATAAAATAGAACTTGCAAATGGTAAAAAACAAAAACAAAACCAAAAACCAACCAAACAAACAAAAATGTACATGTGAGAACTCAAATGACTGAAAACTTTTCATAAAAATGTACCTATAGTGAAACATTTTTAAAGTTCCGAAAGAAAAGAAGTGTCAGTTCTATATGTACTAAAAATATCCGTGAATAATGGCAGCAGATGAAGGAAAAATAAGAGAATTCAATGATAATACATCAACTCTGAAAGAAATGCTACAGATTCTCTTTAGGCTGATGACATTTCCTTTATACCAGAAGGATCCCACACTGCCTCACTGACCAGCTAACAGACTGTTTTTTATGGTTAGTCTGCAGATTTCGAGAGTAGATAATCACTACCTCTGTATTATGTGTTTCCCAATGTAATTCCAACTTCTCTCTGTGTTGAGTTCTCTATGTCAAGTATTGCTAGGTATGGACATTTACTGAAGCCTTTCTTCTCTTCTGCCATCTTTTAAATCTTCTGTAATCTAGGATTCTTCATAAGTTTTTGTTTTATCATTACCATAAATAATAAAACAAATTTATTTATTTTCATTCAAAATTGTTTTTTTCCCAAGTCTACTGAGATATTAAAAATTGTCTTTTCACCAAAGCTTCCAGAGTACAGAATACAGTTAAATTTAATAGTATATTCTTATTAAACAGATTCAGGTTTGTAGAATAAGTTTCCTTATAGTTTCTCTTTAAGAGTACACAATTCTTCTGTGAAAGAAGATTTTACAGATGAGAAAAGCAAGGTTGAAAATGAGACTAAATGACCTGCTCACTTTCACATAGCTTTAGTGTGTCAATGGTGGGTATGCAAAGGTCTGCTGATTCTCTTTTCTGTGTAGAAGACCTGAGGTGACTGATCCAGAGAACTGGAAAAGGTAGTGTTATGGGTTCACAGTGAAGCAGTGAAAAAAGCAGATGAGATTACAGACAGTCTGGTCCAGATCAAGCAGGGACTCTTCGGTAATGCTCACTGCCTTGTTTTCTTCAGTACAAATTAAAGCAATTAAATTGTGTTAAACAAGGAAATGGTATGATTTAACTTACAATTTAAGAAATACTATTTTATATCTTTATGGAGAATAAATGAAAAGACAAGCCAAATGATATGGTTCATTGGCAGTGTAGGGAAGAGATCATATTTTCTTGAACCAGACTACTGTCAGTGGAGGAGAAGAGAATGGGATGGATGATTTGAGACAGAGCCAACGGCGTTTTAATGGACTGTATGTATGTGGGGGTTTGGTGAGGAAGAACAGCTCTTAACTGTCATATTTCTGACTAGAAGAGCAGTGTATAAGATCAGGGGAGGAGCAGGCTTGGAAAGTGGGTCTAAGAATTCCCTTAGTTTTATGCCTGAAACATTGGCCACATTGTGATCTACAGAGGAGGCTCAAATTCAAAAGAGGATGCTAGAATAGAAATGCAAAGGTGGGTATCCTTAACATATAGATGATACAGGGAAACATTAATAAAATGTTTCATCTAGACCTAGAGATTGAGGACCAGAACTAAAACTACAGGGACACTGAATTTAGAGCTAGTTTTCACAGGACGCACTGGAAATGAAACTTAAAACAAGGAATCTTAATTAATAGGTGTCAAGAAAAAGAGAAACTGGAGAAGAAGAAAGATCTATGTGTTAAATACTGACTTGCTGCCCAGCTGCAATGAACAAGATTAGTAGTCAGCTTCCATTTGTTAGTTTTGTCACAGTGTGCCCCATTTTTGATCTGAGGTCTCCTATACATGGGATGACCCCCATTCACTAATATGCACAGAGTTTGCTTAAGGGCTTTGGCATGTGTGGCCAGCAGTAAATCTCTCTAATGTGCAGTCTTTGCTCTACAGTATCCCATTGGGCAGGCAGAAATGTCCTTGGGTCAACGTCCCAGTGGGAAGCCTCCTTTTGTCCAATACTGCTTCCTTCCTTTTCTTTCTGTAATTGCTCTTTCCCAGCAAACCTTTTGAACAAACTACAGCTCAACATCTTCCCATGGCACATGTTTAAAGTGAATTTAGCAGATGCCAAAAATTACATTCCGTTAGATTTTCTGAATTCACAGAGTTACCAATTTCTCACTTGAATTGCACCCTTGGATAATAGTTTATTTCATTAGGTTCTCATTGACACTCTACTAATACAATGTGTGAACTCATCACTGAAGCATGAGAATAGGTGTTAAAGATGTTATTTGGAAATAAACAACAGTGTAAGATTTCTTGTGCTCTGTATTTTCTCTCGTTTTGGAGATAAGATATTACTTAGCATAACTTGAAAACATTACACAAGAAATAATTCTTATTAAAATATTATTTCCTCTTGATTAATGTCAGAAAATTAGCAGTTTAAATTTTTTTAACTATGTAAAATTTTCTTAGATATCAGAAAAAGTATAGAAACAACTTACAGTGGGTTTTATTTTTAAATGAAATAGTAAGCTAAACATTAGGCTGAAAGCAACTTAAAAACTAAAATGTCATTAATTCAAAATTAAGGCTGAGTCTAAAAATAAGTAGAAATAAGTAATAACCAGTTACACAAGTAAATTTTCTAGTCATTAAATAGATAAATTTATGGATATAGAACATTTAATTTTTATAAACCAATTTATAGATATTATATAATTTATAATTTTTCCAAATCATACATTTTGCACGTCAGGATTTTTAGACTGTCTAAATAATATGACGTTGTTGCTCAATAAATATTGAACAAAAGCTTGATGAATACATGTATACTTGAGTCAGGTGAGCGGATGAATGGCAAAACATTTACAATTGCAGAAATACTTATTAATTTCTCCAGCTGCACTGGCTTATACTATTTGTATTACAACTTAAATATGTGCTTTTGCAAGTCCCTGGTGTTTAGATATTGATCATAATTTGAAGAGAGATTCTAGGTAAAAAAGATAGAGTAATTTTATGATAATTAAACAGTTTTGTCTATATACTTTGATATCAAAATGTTTTATACAATAAAGCTATATCATAAATAAATATTTTTTACATCATATTTCTCAAAACAAGTTCATCCACTTGTAGTTTTTTCTTTTTATAATAGCAAAATACATATAATGCATTTTGAAGGTTTATAACATTAGAAGAATGTTATAGTGCAACACATTTTTGCCTTATGGGAGGGTTTTAATTATTTAACCCAGAAAATTTCCTAAAAATAAAGTTTCATTTCCATGTGCTAAATTTATAAAAATTAAGTGCCTCTTTACATCAGATTTTTAAAACACTTTCCCTTTATTTCAAACTGATCTATATTATTTTCTTGTATTTAGCACATCTATTTAGTTGTATTTGTTGTAATTTCCACTAGCACAAGGAAATACCTTAATTATCATTGTATTCCCAGATTCTGAGCATTTTGATGGCACTTAGAGGGACAAAAATAATTTGTAGAATTATTAATTCAAGGTTGGTTAACCTTTTTTTGTTGCAGTCTAACACCTTCCTATAATTTACCTTGAAAATTAGCCTTTCTTGGTCTATGGGATAGCAAAGATACCTTTAAAGGTGATGAGTTGTGTTTGTTAGCTCAAGTGTATTTTGTTTGATCCTCCCATTAAAAGGTGATATTATTTCTTCTGCCCCTTAAATCTGGGATAGCCTCATGATTGATTTGCTTTGAACAATGCAAGGGAGCAGAAATGGCACTATGAGTTCTTGAGCTTTTACCCAAAGAGGCTTTGCAGTTTCTGTTTCTACCCTCTTGGATGCCACCATGAACCATCATCATTTGTGGTAGCCAGGCCAGCTGTTACTTGTTAAATGGTCAATATTTCACAACATAGAAAAAACCTCAAACATATAAAACAATTTATTATAAACTCACTTTAATATGGACATGATAAAGATGTTAAAGAGTTTGAGGACAAAAAGAAAGAATTGGAGAACACAGGTAACCCCCATGTTTCCTGCTCTACTGAATTCAGTTGAAAATTCAGTTGAAAGGTCTATTCAGTATCTCTGGGGCCATTCTATCTTGGAAGCCTCTAGGAGAGTATCATTCCTTGTAGGGATGTTAACTATGATCTTTGCCTGTCTTCACTTGGCTGTCTTATCTCTGGGTCTGTGTACGTTTGGGTCCATCCTAATCAGCTGCATTAACTTGATTATATCTGCAAAGAACC